GGGCGGGGGTTGGTGAAGATGGAGAAACAGGGAGAGATGATGGTGAAGGTCCTAGGGTTGGAGTTGGTGAGGTGGTCGGAGTTGGAGTCGGCGGCGACATTGCCGGCGCCGGTGTCGGAGTTGGTGAAGCGGTGGGCGAGATTTTAGGTGCTGGAACAGGGGATTGAGCTATGCATGAAGTGGTGAAAAGAGCTAAAAGTAAGAAAATTTTGAAGCTTGTGGAAGAAGCCATTTATGAAAGTTGGTTTTCTTGATTTTGCAGAGGAAAAAAGAGAAATGATTTTGTTGAATGTAGGAAAGTAGAAGAACTCGAAAGTGAATGGAGAAAAGATACTGTGGAGAGGAAATATATAGGAGGGGGAGAGAGAATATGGAGGTTGAAAATATCATTTTTCCAATAATTATATAAACTATTCCTTATATTTGTGATACTATTTCCTATTTAATTTAATGAATGCCACCTTATTGTATTTGAAATCAATTTAGAAATTTTCATTTTTTCCTTGTATGATATATTTTCTAGCCACACAAATTTATGATATGTTTCATTTTAAAAGTCTTTAATTCTCTTTTTCTTTTTAAAACATACTCCCCTCTTTTCAATTTATGTAAACTTATTTGACTGGGCACAGTGTTTAAGAAGAAAAACAATACTTTTGAATTTGTGGTGTAAAATGATGCACATATATTTTGTGTGGTTATAAATCATTGCATAAAAAGTAAATTATTTCCAAATATGAAAAGGTCATTCTTTTTGGCACGGAGTAAAAAGTAAATAGGTTCACATAAATTGAAACAGAAGGAGTATAAGTCAAATAGGTTCACGTGACAAGTACTCATTCCTTCATCCTTAGTCAGAAGTTTCAGGTTCGAACCTTAGTTATGGAGTCGTTTTTGTTAGGTATTATTTTACCCCGTCATGTGGATTTTTCAGCATGAATTTGAATTTAATCGACTCCTAATATAGATATCGGATACCAAATAAAAAACCAGAAAAAAAGAAGGAAAAATACCTATGCACACGATATGAGTAGGATTATGGGAAAATACAGAAGTACAAGATATGAGTATGTCTGTTGGTAATGGGAATACGATTCCATGCATGAACAGCTAAAAACGAGTAATAATTCAGGAAAAAGCGGTGGCTTGTGGACTCTAATGAAAATCTAAATACAGTTACGTTTCTATGTCATTTTCATTGAAACTTTGTGAAAATGAAAGGGAGAAGCTATATTTGGTCATTATCATTTTTGTTTTTTCTAATGGACACACGTATTGAATTGACTTGGTCTCTCATTTATAGCTTTGAAATAATCTCTTGCTAAGAAAGTATAGCGCGATAAATGGATTGTTTAATGGGGATAATATGGAACCTGTCTCATTTTATACATGAAACTTTATAAGATCCGATTATCCCTCTACAATTACATTCAATTGTCTGTCTCAATTTATGTGATGCATTTCCAGAGAAGTTAAATGTATTTTTTTTAATCGCAATTTTTATGTACTTTTTAAATATTTTAAATTATTAGCTATTGTGACTTATGATACTTTTTTATGCAGTTTTAATTTCTAACATGTAAATTTTATTTCAGAAAAATTTAAAATTTTTATATCCAAATTCTCTATCAAAATTAAAAAGTTTAACTTTAAAAATTCGAGCTGTACATAACTTGGGAGTTGGGACGGAGTAAAATAGCTCTTATCAGGACAATACATAATAAGTTACATAATTATAAATGATAGAAAAATGAATACACAATGAAATATAGATCCGTTTGATAACACTTTGTTTGTCTTTTTATTTTTATTTTTATTATACATAGAGGGTGAGAATGGGAAATAGTAAAGAGAATTACACGGTGTCCGACAATCGAACACCACTAACAAGGTAAAAGTTAATTAAGTTAAGTCAATCAATCAAGCTGCGTTTATTCTCGTATTAAGTTTATAGCAACTGTACCTTGAGGCCTGAATACTGGGCTTGTATGATACGAGGAATAAATGATGATTAATTCTGGAATTAAATTTGAGATGAATTCATCTTACGTTTAGTTGGGATAAAATCGCAGTATAACTAAAATTCGGAATTGTAATATTATTTTTATCCTTATAAGAAAGTGGAATAACAATCCCGAGGTAACTATATCTTGATAAGTTTCCGCGGTGAAACTTATCAAGAAATAGACTTTTAATTTATTTCTTTCTTGTTTGACATATACAGAAGTTTTAGTTATCAAGAAATTAGCTTAGTGTAGCAAAGATTCAAACTTGTCACTTCCACCCAAAAAAAACAAAAATTGATGAACATAAAGAGAAGCTACGTCTGAAATCATTTCCATTATTTAAACTAAAAACTCGTGAATTGTCAACAAACAGCAAATTAGTAAAAAATATTTTGGTATATGTCAATTTTCAAAGGACGAATTTTTCCAATTGTGAAGTTTGACGTACCAAAACCAACCAAAAAAAAAACAATGAAACTATTATATAGCTGGTTATTTTCTGAAGTTAGGTAAAATGTCATTATCTACTAAACTGTGATTAGTTGGATGCAAATTGATCTAATTATCATATTATAAATTTGATTTCTCAAACTTATCGGAGTACTAGTAATCAAATTTATATTTTCAAAACATAAATTAATTGCCATTTATAAGGTACTTTAATAACATAAATACTTAATTAATACTTTCTTAAGATGCATACTAGATAAGTGTAAAAGAGAACGTAAAGTGTATTTTAACAGCCATTTCAAACTCTAGAATATGTTTGCACCTATTGCTATATCATCTTTTTTATCAGTATTAATGTAATTAATGACTAATTATTTGCCAAGTACGGAACACAAAGATGATTAAAACATTATAAGCATATCTTCCCCTTACAATTAGCTGTATTAGACTGTATAATAGGTAGATCGTAGGAGAAGAGGAGTCACCGAATTAAATAAAGTTAATCTAAATTTCTAAAACAATACAAGAGGGTAAAAGTGAGCGTAAAACCTAATTTCTTTTGAAGATTAAAGACAAACTATTTTTTCAAGTGTTTAACTTATATAAACGGATAATATTAATTTTTCTTTTACACTATCATGTCACACAAAAAATATGTATATACCATCTTTCATGCTGAAAACAAGATAGATTATTTATTACAACAGAAAGAAATTATTTAATAAGTAAAATTTCTTAATCGATGTATATAAGCTAAATTCCTTTCCGAGCTATGCTAAATTTGGTCCTACAGATATTCATAGAAAGAACAAAATCTCGCAAATAAACAGGTGAAAATGGATGTGAACTGCCACTCAAATGATCTTTACGACGGAAAATTTGCTCTTTCATTTACTTCTGCTTTTCCAGCATGACCCATAAACTGGGCCTGGACAACAATATTGTGGTCAGGTGTGCCTGGCTTAATATCTGGACTTAGAATTTGGACTAGAATGGACTTGGGTGATTTGCACAAATAGGAACCTTCGGTGTCACTCTTGATTTTTTGACTCCGCTTTTGACTTTTGACCTTAATGATTTGCACATAAAGCAAGCAGGGTCATAAAATCAAGACCAACCATTTTCAAGGCTATTGGCTGTAAATTCCTGAATGGACTTTGGCTAGCCTCCCTTAATTCCTCTCAAGGGGAGTGTGGGCTGAAGTGCTTAACTTGCCCCTAATACGCACTATTTTATAGAAAAATTAACCTAAATATTCTTTCACTCAACTGCTTAAATTAAAAATAGTTGGTGGGTGTGTAATATATGTATACTCCATATATAACATGTGTATAATCATTATATAATCTATATACATAAGCTAGAAAAAGTAAATGATGATCCCGTCGGCTATTTATGTAAAAATCCCTATCGTAAAAAATGTTTTGAATAGGAGAAAATCATTTTTTTAATTAGGGTGTTTGGTTGGGTATTATAATAGTCATTGATCAATCATGAAGACGCGTGAGTTTGTAATTTTTTTTTTAACAATAACGTGAGATGCATGTGAGTGTATCTCTGTTCCGTTTAACGTTAACTTTTGAGGCAATAGTTAGTTTTAGAGTTGTGGAGTAAAAGTAGTGTCCTCTTTTCGCAAACATTAGGGACTATTTATGTTAGATAATATACATTAAGGACCAAAATAGTCCAACCCTATATATTAAGGACTATTTCAATTATTTTCTTGAAATTTTAAATCGATATGAATTGTTAATTGTAAAACCTCGTACCGAACTGACGTCCTAACATGCATGAGAACATACATGATTGAAACATAAGTATTTCTTAAGTTCCTCTAATTAAATGAATTATGTGTAGTTGCATATTCCAATAGTCAATAACAAATTATATACTATGACATAATTCATCTTAATTATGTACTAACATGCTTCTATCGAAAAAAGTGGATCGGGAATATTGTTAATGAATTAAAAGTTTAAATGGGGTAACATGTCTTAGTCAATTTATATGAATTAACTATTATTTGAAACAAGTCTACTTTTAAAAAGTTTGGGAGAGAGAACTCAAATTATTAATTGTAACACTAATAAGATGTCTATAAATTGTGCCCTTTGAAAGGGAAGAAAATACTCAAACAAAAAATAAAATCACTAAAGCTTGAAGTAATTTTGTAAAATGGCAGTGCATAATCTTGGCTTGAAGAAAATACTCAAACACTTAAACCATTGCTCCTCCTCGAGCAATCAAACTACACTTTTTTTTATAGACACAACTTTTTTAAACAATTCTCCTAACTCATCACACCAAGAGTATTTAAAATAGACTAAGCACAAAAGCGTAACATCTTCACCTCAAGATTTGACTCACAGGTACCACACGTTATTCACAACTCACCCACTTACTCTAATATAGAGGCCACTGACATTACCTTTCCTTCATGAATCAAGTGCCCTCACACAACAAAAGAGTAGTTCCACACAATAAAATTTAAGAACACTTAGGAACTCAAGATAGAAAGAATTCACTCACTCTCAGAAATAACATTCATATGCCACAAAAGATGCACCATAAGCTTGCTCGTAGTGTACTACTCCACTAATCGAGCTCATTCAATCTTGGATCAATTAGGACTTTATTTGGTTGTAATGTAGGCTACGGGACGGGTAGGATATATTTAGATATAAGAGTGACTACATCTCCCTAAGCACTTTAAAGCATATACTTTAACATTCAAACCCCATACTTATGTCAAACCAAACTCCACCTTCACATCAATGTATATTACCCCATACTTCTTTAAGCACAATTACAGCAAGAGTCACCACTTATTAAAGAAATACTTTTTTTTCCACAACAATACAACTATATTTTTTTTATCAATTCAAGTGGCTCTTACTTGTTCAAAACAG